TCTTCAGCAAGCTGAAGGAGCGTGCGTACAGCTAGGAACGGTGCTGACTTGGTTCCATACGTGACTGTAGTGAGCTAAAAATGAGATTCCACCTGCTGTTCATTCACCCACACGATGCGTTGCAGATCCTGGTCATCTGGATGTATCTTGATTTGCCGGTACATCTTGGTGATGTCAGTCGCAAAGAGATACTTGAATTGACGTATCCAAATGAGCAAGTCGAAGATGTTGAGCATACTCTCGCATGAACTGAGGGTACAATCGGTCGTACTGAGCGTCTCTGCCAATTCGCCTGAGAATTCGTTGGAGCAATCGATGAGCTGTCTGATAAGAATCTCCCAGGACTGTTGGGGGCGATTTAAGCGGCATCCTGACGATGTAACGCCCTGTTGAGTCCCTTGAGTGAGTGGTCTTGAAGTGGAGCTCACACTGCTGCTCCTGAGGAGTGAGCGATGAGTTGTCCGATGATGGAGGTTCTTCTTGGACCCAGAACCATGTCAACAACTCTCGCAAGGACGAGTTTGATACTTGTGAGCTGCCGAGATGAGTTGTCCTTGCAAGTGTGACCGGTGCTTGAATGGGGCCTATGACCAACCACCCAAAGATAGATAATTGAGCAATGGGAGTTCTTTCTGAGTGCCTAATGATATTAAGCCTGATGAGTTGGCCGTAGAAGTCTGCTCCGATTATGACATCTACTGCCCTTAGAACGAGAAATTCTGGATCAGCGAGAGTTAAACCCTTCAGGTGTGGCCATTCGGGTTCCTGTTGAGTCTTGATTAAAGGTTGAACGTGACAATTCCTCTTGTTTGAGAAGTCCGTGTTCCACCGACACCATAAACGTCCAGCCTTGAGTGCCTTCGTTGTAACTTGAGCTGCTGGGTGAGCTTTTCTGAGATGAATGAGATTTCTGATCCAGGGTCGATGAGCAGACGAACTTGAGTTGATGAAGCTGCTGAGACGACTATTGCTGTTGCTGTGGCCAGCAATGTGAGATGACTGAGATGGGCTGAGTTAGACGTGAGATGATCGCAACTCTCAAAGAGCTGCCCTGAGCTTCATGCTTGAGAGGACTTGGTTGACGGAGCGGGTGTGCTTGACACCTCCTGAGCGGTCTGATGGTCATCTCCTGATGGTTCGAAAATGACTGAGAGGTCTGTACCATGCAACAGGGTATGATGATAGTCGTTGCATGATTTGCAATGCATTCGGCTATTGCACCTCCTTCAATTATGCCTGCCAAGGCAATTGCAACACAGACTTCTGTCCCTGATCAACCTTACCCGTTATTTGACCGAATAGCTTCGCATCTTTTGGCAGATCGCGATGTAGTGGTCTTGCCCACAACAGTCACACGGATATGTGGCTCGTGACTGAGCTGGACGAGAAGGCTGATGAATAACCGACCTTGCTGAGTTGGCTGGGGGCTGTTGAGAGGCCTGATATGAGCTTGTCCGAGTAGTCTTAGCCCCTTTAGGCACATTGGGTTGAGCAGGTGTGGATGAGGATTCTATGGTCTCCAATGTGCGAGCACGAGTGACCAGAAATTCGGTGAGCTGGCTGAGTGTCGGAAATTCATCTGTAGATGCAAGAGATGTCTCCCACCTCTCGCGAGTGTCTTGATCAAGCAGTCCAGTGAGAAGAGTGACCATGAGGCAATCATTATTGCTCTCCACTGTGAGTGTTCTGAGTGCCTGAGTGGTCTCATTAATGATGTTGACCATTTTGGTCAGTGAGGTGGCTTGGCGCCTTTGCATTGGTTTGAGGTTGAGCAGCCTTTCTAGATGTGATTTTATTATGAGACGTTTGTTCTCAAACCTTGATGTGAGCAAGGTCCAAGCCGAGTCGAATGATAAATTGTCAGGAGTGATGTTGGCAACAATTTCGTAGGCCTCACCTTGCATCGCTGACTTTAGATACTGGAATTTCTCCAGATCACTGAGATCCGAGCGGTCTGCTATCACTGAGCTGAACATGGCCTTGAAATCAGGCCATTTCCGGCAATCTCCACTGAATGTTGGCACTGTTAATTCAGGAAGCCGGGAGTGGGCACGAGCACCATCTTCGGGTGAAGAAGTGGGCTGAGTTTTCTGAGTGAGCTGTTCCTTAAGCCGACCAAGCAATCGTTTTGTCTTTATCATCAATTTCGTTTCACTGATGTTGACCGTTTCAGTGAGGTATGGATGGCTCATTTGGTTGGGAGGCCAATTACATACTTGTTGAGCGTGCTCTTGGCGGAATGACCTATGCAGCTCCTCTAGCTGCTCGAGCAACATGTTCACCTCTGTCAGGGTGATCGATTCGGATGGGTCACCAACCTGACTGAGTATATCCTGTATCGACACAAAGATTTCCCGTTGAGCCTGCACACATAATGTGAATTCTGTACTGAGTGCCACAGGCGATTGGCTCCTGGACCGGGTACCTTGGCCATGAGTGGACGTGGATGGTACCGCCAGGCTGGTCGGTTGAGCTGTCTGAGGGATTACTTGATCATCACTACTGCTTGTGGTCTTGGCCTTTTTTTCTTCATCCCGCACAAGCACCATTGTGATAATTAAATGAGAAGTCTGTAGTGATAGTCACTGTTTAATTGAGATCGCACTGAGAGTCACTGATAATAAGTAGTGCCAATGAGAGAACAATGTCGCGATAGATAACGGCACTATTTAGTAAACACCGCGAACGAGATGACGATACCCCGCTACTCGGGAGTGAGAGTGGGGGAAGTATTCGCGGGTCGCGCGAAGCGAGTGGGACGACACGTACTCGCAAGAGAGATGGCTTTATCTCACCCTACTCGAGAGTGAGAGAGGGGGGCGGCTCACGCGTCACACTAACGCGAGCGTGGTACTATTCCTCGTGACGTAAGAGCGGGCGTGAGACGGCACTACGTCACGCGTAGCCACACAACTTTAGATGGCACTATTTCGCGCGGAACAAAGCGACTGAGATAGCACTACTTTTTCGAGTAAAAGAGAAGGCGTGACACGGTACTACGTCACGCGTAAGAGCACTAATTGAGCTGGCACTACTTTCACGAACAAAGAAACTGAGATGATGAAATGTACCGTACACAATAACCTTTACCAATTTTTACAAATCTGCACTGCAAATGCTCGATCCGGCTCGAAGGACCAAATGTTGAGGAAATAAGTAGGTTTAATGAGTAGAACGCCGAGCAATTGCAGTGAGTGGTCAGATTTATTAAAAATGCGTACGAGTACACCGCGTGTCGGTTGAGATTTAA